TTGTTGTCAATAAAATATAAACGTTACTTTTATTTTCTTTAATTATTTAATAGCGCTATTTTCTAACTTCTTATCGTCTCTTGATCGGTTCGTTTTTTTCTTCGCCTACCCTTTTTCTCCTTTTGTTCACAGTACCCAATAGTTATTTTTAGGTGGACCGTTAAGAAGTTACGTTCAGAAGCATTTTTTTCTCTCTGCATTAACTGTGATTGCTGTAAGGATGATGGTGATTACAGCGATGGTGATGCTAATTGAATGGTGGATTACCTCATTTTTTTCATCATTGTGTATTCATTTATTAAAGCATTGATTTTTTTTTTTCCTTTTATTTTTATATTTGTTGTTGTTGTTGTTGAAGGCTGTTCACTGAAATAAATGTAGTCATGTGAATGAAGAATGTAACGATGATGATGGAGGGGCTACTGAAGGGGATGGGGGAGGGGAGGCGAGTGTTGCGGCGAGGGAAGAGGACGGCCACAAAGCATTGGCCGAAGTGTATACGACGGGTACGAAAGGCGACGAACTGAATTGAACGAGGAGGGGTAACGGAGCAAGCGGCGGCGACGCAACGATGAAGAGTCAGCAGCAACAGCAACTGCAACAGCAGCCATCGCAGCAGCAACAGCAACAGCAACAGTAGTGCATTAACGTGCAGTGGCAGTGGCGATTTGGACTTCAGCGGCCATACCGATGGATGTGTATGTGTGTCGGTTTGGTGTCTGTTTGTCTCTGTTAGCGTTGATGGTGTGCGTATATGCGTGTATTGGTTTTGTGCACAGAGTTTGCACCGGTTATAAATATAGGTTCATTTTTGTTGCAAACAAGAGAATTTTTAAGTTCAAAAACAGAAGATTTGTGTTTAAAAAAAAAAAAAGAAATTTTTTTTCTTGCTTTTCATTTTCAATTAATTTTTGCCCTTTTTCTTCACTTTTTCTATTTACCTATTGATGTTGCTGCAGTTGCAATAATTTACCCACCTTTGCAATATTATAACTGTTACAGTGAGCAGCCAATTTATAGGGTTTTTTTGGGTCTTTTTTGTTGAATAAAATATCTAAATATGTGTCTAAATTATTGGTTTAACAATTTCTGTAGTTGAAAAAAAAAGAAATGAAAAAATGCAAATTTTTAATTATATTTGATATGTTTTGTGTTTTATTTGTTAGGGTTGCTGGTGGAATAACAGAATTTCTGTGTTTATTGATGAAGGTATTTGGAAGGGTCGAGGGAATACGGAGGAGGAGGAGGAGGAGGGGAATTGATGGACGGGTGGAAGGGTCATATTATACGTTTTTTTTTTTTTCGAACTTTTGTTTTGTTCCTCAACGTTTATTGATGATTTTCTGCATTGGTTTATCTAGTAATATGTTTATGTATTTTTGCTTTGCAATTAGCTTACCTGATGATGCTTATCAACTGGATACATTTGTTCCTTTTTCTTTCCGCTTCAAAAACACTTTACCAATGCAATTTCTGATTGTATTAGCGAATGAGAGGTATGTGCAAAAATTTTTTGTTTTTTGTTTTTTTTTTTTT